GTTTAGGATTTAGGGCTTGAAATTTAGGGTTAGGGTTTGGGGTATAGGGTCCAATCTCTCAAGCTAGTCAAGCTCAATAAGCTTTCAAAGTCCTAAAAATCGGGGGGGGGGGGGGAAGTAGCCCTTGACTCTTGCGGAGGGTCACATGGGAGTTTCTCACCTTAAGAGATCCGATTGGATATGTAAGGGTTATAAGGAGACCATGGCTGCCCCTCTTGGGGACGCGGTTTACGGCTTAAGGTTTAGGGCTTAGGTTTAGGGGCTGGGGATGTAAGGAATGTGTCAAGGAATGCTCACGCCTGTTCCGCAGTAATCGGAAGCATGCATTGCGATTGCAAACAGGACGATTGTCTTCACAAGCTGCATGCCAACAAATATATTGCTACAATGGTCCTGCTTAGAGACCCAGGGAACTTGGTAAGTAGCTCGGGATGGGGCTATGAACATTTTCGGGACTTCTCACCCCATCTGCAGCCTACTAAGTCCCCTGAGCCGTCAAGAAGTAGGCGAACTGCCACAGCAAACTCAAACCTTTTTGCATTCAACGCCTCAAAAGTCAGCTGTTGCTGGCGACAGCCCGGCTTTCACACACATTGTCATGATAACCTGGGCAATGTAGACGACGGCGAAAGACCCGGCCACGTCTTGGATGGCTGTCTCCATCCTTTCGCTATGTGCGAGGCACACCGCTGGGACTGTCAGGTGTAATCAGCTGTTGTCATTATAGAGCTCCTACTAGAAAACCATGCCACTTCGAACAAGAAGCTCAATAGACATCATGCTTGTCGGCAAGCCCTAAAGGCCAAAACCCGAAACCCTCACAACCCCAAATCCTAAACCCTATACAACTGTAATCTCCTTAGACGTATACTAAACTATTTTCAATAAAACCTCAGGGTTATACTATGATAGAAACTGAAATTAATTCCTAGCTCAAGGCCAGCGTCGGCCCAGCCCATTTGCCAGCATCCCCATGGAAGATAAAAGAGAAAAGAAGGGGTGCCTTGGAATCCAAATTGGGGGAGACCATGGGTTTACGGGTTTAGGGCTTGAGGGTTTGGGTGTTTAGGGTTTAGGACGATAAATAGGTTAGATAAAACAGATATAGATATGGATAGATAAGAGGATAAACAAGTAGGGATGAGGGATATACATGGATATATAGGGTTCTAGGACGTTTTGGTGGCCTTGGCATTCTCAGGGGCCGAGAGTTTTTCATGTTAAAAGTCAAGGCAAACCCTAAACCCTAAGGGTTTTGGGTTTAGGGTTCTTAGGGTTTAGGGTTCTTAGGGTTTAGGGTTCTTAGAGTTTAGGGTTTAGGGATTCAGGGGATTAGGGGTTTAGGGTACCCCTTGGCGCAGTTTCTGTGCAGGCCACGGGCTGGCTTTGGAAGTTGAATTTCCCCCTACTAGGGTTTAAGGGTGTAGGGTTTAGGCCCTACACCCCTAGCCCCTATCTGCAATTCTAAAATCCTAAACCCTAAACCCCTATCGCACTCATTTTTAGCCATACCTCGGAGACCAAGAACTACACGCAATTGGCCACTTGCCCTTTCTACAGTAGGTTGTCCCAGAATAGGCGGGTTTCCAGAAATTGGGAGTTCCCTTCTGGGCCTCCCAAACAGTCTTTCAACAAGGATTAGAGTATTTGAGGGCCTTTTTGGGGTCCCCCATTCATGGAAACTTCATGCAAAATTGTCAATAGGGAGTCATTTACTTTCAGCGGTATACTAAACTCTGCAGCTCATGAAGTAGAAGGCGTTGAGTGGCGCAGTCATGTTAGACAGCGCTTGCAGCGGTACCTTGCTTCTGCATGCCATGCTTATCCTAAACTTCAGTACTGACTTTTCCTATAAATCCTAAACCGTATACCCTATGCTCTGGAGCTTACACTCCTGAACCTAAATACCCACATGAGCTACGTCTAAACTCCTGGTATCCCCCTTCTTAACCCTGAAAGTAGTCCCCCATATAATCCCCTACGTAACCCCCCTTGAGGAGTTTAGACTTTGGCTCATATCACAATTAGCCCTGCCTCAACCTTCCCTAAACTCTAAACCTCGGTATGGATTCGTCCTACTAGCAGATCTGCTGAGGTTGAAGCCGTAGGCTTCTGGTATGTGCCCCTACTATATACCCTATATGTACCCTTAAGAGCCTCTAGAACCCCGGAGTTTCCCTACGGTAGGGATACCTCTTTGGGGGGGTCCCCGTAACAAGGATTATAGTGTATTGGAATCCAGATGGGGGTCACCCTCAACCCTAAACCCTATATTTGGAGTCTAGATGGGAGTACGCCTATTCTGGGAAACGACCATCATGCACGGAGGGAAATGAAAATGATTACCACTACACCTGGTGATCACTACAGGTCTGGAAGGGGGTTACTTCGCTTCTTCTTCGGGGTGTAGGGACTTCTTATCTCTAATGGTCACAAACTCAAAACCCTAAACCCTAAACCCTAGACCCTAAACCCTAAACCCTAAACCGCAGGGGCCAGCTCCCAGGCCACAGCAGTTTTTGCTGAGATCTCATATGTGCCCTTGTCTAAACTCCTAGTATCCCACTTAATAAACATTATAGTAGTACCCTATATAAACACCTATATAACCCCCTTTACGGAGTTAGAATAGATCTCATATTGAAATTCCTTTTCAGCAGTCATGGCGAGCTGCAGCCGTACCCGTCACACCGGCCACCATGATGCTGAAAGCTTGGGACAGGCCAACTGTCATGCTGAACCCCAAGTCAGCTCCTTCCAAGGCATTTTAGGGTTTAGGGTTTAGGGTTTACTGACATAAACACAGGAATCGATAAACATTACGGTAGGGCCACGGCCGGCATCAAACGTCTGCCATGTCCAGAAGAGCCTTACTGGTGCTTCAGTGGCAGTGGACAACTGGATACCTATATACTCATCCCTATATAATCCCGCCCATACCTACCCATACCTACCCCTGACATGGTCCCTATATTATATTCACTCACCCCTCTCGACCCTAAGTCCTGTCATCGTCCCTATGTTCATTGAGCACCAGTAAGGAGCGCGAGGAATGAGATGGCCAATCCCGTAGCAGCTGCCAGAAGCGTCGCAGTAGTGACCTCTCTCGGCCATTTTCGCGGTTCTAAGGGATACCTGGGACTTATATAGAGCTATCTGGGCTTCTGCTTGGATGATACGTATCCAAAGCCTGAACTGAAGTGTATTTGAGGACGTTGTCAAGATAACTCACTATTTGGGGTGAGGTCGGGCGAGGTCGAAACCCTAAACCCTGAACCCTAAATCATATTTTGCCCAGCCTCTCGCCACATCCAGGCGAAGAAGGTTACTCTTGTACAGCTCCTTACATGCAAGTGCAACCGCAAACCCACTAAAGGGTCCAAAAGTGGAACCTACCAAAATGACCCCAATACTCCCTAAACCCCCAAACCCTAAACCCTATACTACATTTTGGAAGCTATGGGATGCTAAGGATAACTCCCTTTTTTGGATCCTTTCAGGGGGTTTGGGACTGTCTGCAACCTGACAAACCTAGATCAACAGAAACTCACCGGAGATTAGGGTTTAGGGCCTACTGTGAGGATGTACTTGTGCCCCAAATGGGGGTTGTTCTACAGGTCCTAGAAAAGAAGGACGATTGGGAATAATTGCACTTCCTTGAAGGGAGCTCTTGACCAAGAAGGGAACCTGCCTCAAGAAAGGCCCAAACACCCATGCGAGATGGCGCGCGTAGTCAGCGATGAGGCCTGCAGGCCTACATTCCCAGAAATGGCAGAAGTCAACGGAAGGAATGCCATGAGCAGCGTATATCTTTCCTGGACAGTCTGACGGTAGCTGAAACCCATAACCCTAAACCCAATGTAACGCAACATATCTGTAGGCCTTGAGAATCGTGCGCTTCATATAAGGGGGGTGGCGAAAATCCTGGGCGATGCAAGGATGGATACTAGCATCATCTACAAGGGAAGTTTGCATCCTAAACCCTAAACCCGAAAGCTAAGCCAGCTTCCTACTGTCGATTTTTTGAAGATGAAGTGGCAGCTCAAAGTTCTGACACAATTTTGGGACTCGGAGGATCCCCTGCAGTAAGGAACATGACAATGGGTTAAGGGTTTGGGGTTTAGGGTGACAATCCAGCATTGCATCAAGCGCCCAATTCTACTCAATATCCAGGGATACTTTCCTGACATAAAGATCTAAACCCTAAACCCTAAAATCCTTGAACCCTAAACCCTAAACCCTAAAATCCTTGAACCCTAAAATCCTTGAACCCTAAACCCTAA